CATAAATTATATATATATATATATATATATATATATATATATATATATACATATATAATTGAATGAAGTAAAGTCCCCAGTGGAACCTTCTGAAGAACCTCAAACTTCATTTTGTAAACTCAAGAAACTTCAACACATATTTTGAGTGTCACAAAGCCTTTTCTTTAGGATGGTATCAGTGGAGGAATCGCTGATCATCTTTGGAGTTCTTGCAGAAAGTCATGAGCTACATTTTGTACATTCCTCAGAGAACCGCCCTTTCTAAAAGGGCCTTTTAATTTTTACATTTGCAGCTTGATTTTAAGAGAACTTTACTCAAGACATGTTGAGCAAATTTCATCACTGAAACTTTTTTAGTGATTGCCCTGGCTGTCTCTACTACAACATGACGCTGTAAAAAAATATATTCTCTTCAGATTGATGACTGCAAACTCTCAGATCAGTGGGACCAGCTCAGTAAAGACCCGCTTCCCATCTACACAGTGATCGACAAACAATCCAAACAGCGTGAGGAAGGAGGTCTGTGTTTTTGTCTGAAAGAGACAGAGAGTTAATGTGCTCGTGTCAGCTGTTATATGGTGGTGTTTTCTGTCTGCAGACCCCTGGTTTGAGATCAGTCCACATGAAGCAGGTTATTTTCTCATTGGAGCTTTTGTGGGAACATCCAGCTTCGGCAGTCAGTTTAAAAATAAGATGAAGAAGCAGGATGAAATAGACATGCTTTACCTGCAAGGTAACAATATCTGTTGCAGGACTGCCTTAGAGTGTATTATTATTTGTTGCCGTGTTATCTTTATTTGGGGATCAAATATGTTGTGGCTCCACATGAATTTTATTCGGTAGGAAAGGGGCCAAAGTGGCTCTTTTGACGTTGAAGGTTGCAGACTCCTGGGTTATACCAATATGACCAAATAATTCTGTGAGCAGTGAACATTAGATGTCAAACATCAGTTTCACTCTCTTGATTGTGAAAAACTATGCCATGCTTTGAATGGTGTGTGCATTTCAGGATGCGGTGCCAAACATTGCATTACTGGGTTCTGGAGGAGGACAAAGAGCCATGGTGGGTTTGCTGGGATCTCTGGTTCAGCTTGATAAAGCGGGTCTTCTGGACTGCATCCTTTATCTGAGCGGAGTCTCTGGATCCACCTGGTACGAACCCTGAGAAACAACAAACACACAGAGACCGAATTGGGTTGTTCTTCTCTGAAGGTGCATGGCCTCCTTATACAAAGAACCAGACTGGTCCACCAAACTAGAGACCGTGAAGAACAAAATCATCAGGAGACTCAGCGGACCAGGAGTCAGATGGACAGACGCATTGGCCAAACTGAAGAATTATTACTATGAGAAAGACATCTTCAGCTTGACTGACGTCTGGGCAGTGATGCTTGTCACATCATATGTGAAAGAGGCCAGTTACTATTCATAACATAACCCACCATGACTTGTTGAGGGTAGAGGTGGTCATGTTCAGTTTTAAAGTGCATGTGTTTTTATTAGAGGTCGACCGATAGTGGATTTTACGGATAAAGATAACTAGGTATTATTAGATACATGCATATTGTATGTATACTTTCACACTTTATTTGCTTCTATTTTAGAAAACTTGATGATTATCTAATCAAAATAACAAAAAAAAAGTATTTCACTGATGATAAAAATCACGCGTTTCTAATCTATTTATGTCGGTTGCATGAACAAATAAATTTGCTTTCTCCTTTCACTTTAAATATGCAACGCCCCTGGCTAACTGATGCATAAAAGCGACCAGCTGGATATAAACTCGTGCAAATAGACAGTAACAATTGTGACATGAAACATTTGGGTCGGACTTGCGTGTGTTTTCATCACATTATTTTAATCGACTAATGTTGGCGTCCTCTCAGCCTAATGGCAAACATAGCCTAGGCCCAGGGCCGTCCTTAGCTGACGCGGGGCCCGGTGCGAGGTGACAACATGCACTATAGTATACTGTATATACACACCGATTCGTTGTCTGTTTTAAATCCGCATCTGAAGTGTCCCGCTCTGTGCCGCGTGCAGTGTCACGTGTCAAAACAAACAGCACGTGGTTTCATTGATTCCTCCTCTAGAGGCCACTCTCGTACCTTCTCAGCCACTCCAGCAACAGACGCAACCCGGAAAAACTATGGAGTTTTGCCGATAACCGATTTTCCAGCGTTGGTTATCGGTACCTATTAATCGGCCAAACTGATCTACTGGTTGACTTAAAGTTTTTTTTTTTTTTGATGTTGGGCCTCCAATGAACTTGCATAGTTTTTAAGAGAAATAATTGTGTGGGAGATATTTTTGTTTTGTTTTACATTACAAACTACTACAAATTTAGTGCCATCTTCTGATATATTAAACATACATGCAGCTGTTATGCTGATAATATTAATTGTAATGAATAAAAATAAGATGAAGAAGCAGGATGAAATAGACATGCTTTACCTGCAAGGTAACAATATCTGTTGCAGGACTGCCTTAGAGTGTATTATTATTTGTAATACCAACTTACAGTGTATATTGTACACAATGCGTTGACCTAGAATAAAATACATCAATATTCTCTGGTATTTTTTCTAATATAAAACTTTATGGCAATTACATTAACAAGTTGAGGGGGACAAAATTGGATTCATTTATTTGAAGCGTTTGTTTCATCTTGTGTATTCTGCAGCTCTGTGCAGCAGTGTTTTAGCTAATGAAGAGGAGATCTGGAAGTGGATAAAAGGTACAACATAAATTGTGAAACTTGAGGATTTAATTCTGCTTAAAAGTAATTTCATTTTCATTTGATTTTGTTTTTCAGCTCTTTTATTACCTGAAATAAAAACGGCATCAGAGAAAATGAGGCAAGTTATAGATATAGATATATATATTGTGCTTATTTATTGATTAGTTCCATATATATATATATATATGTATAATTTGTGGCCAAGCAAATGTTCAAGCTACAAGCTCACAAATTAAGTGTCGTACTCTAAAAAAATCTATTAAAAATGTCTCTTTGCACTTGCTAAAAATAAATCACCAGCCCTGACATAAATATTGTTTGTATGATTGCTTCTGGTTGTGGGGAAACACCTGCTGTTCACTGTAAAAATGAAAAGATCCCACCGGAGGAAACCCCTGGACAAACTCAAAGCAGCCTTTCGTTAAAGGTCAGTGAAGAACTTACAGCGTTTCTTGACACCTTGACTCATTCTTTAATACAATAAATTGAACCAATTCATGGAAACACACGACTGATGCTATACATGTTACATGAAACTAAGTATCTTTAAACTGTTACTGTACTTAAGAGCATTTTCTAAGTATCTGTACTTTTATAATCACTTCGTGAAACTTTGAAAGCATAATATGTTTTTACTCTACTACATTTCAAAACACACCTTGTCCGAAATCACTCCTATTTTTTTACATAGTGCACTATATCAGGCATTGGCCATTTTGACAAAATAAAATAGGATCTATGGTGTCATTTTAAGTATTTTAATATTACTCATGTTAAATCATTTCAAAAGTAATCTTGTGCCCCCAAAGTTGAGAACACCTGAGGCCTGTTGCACGAAGCCAGTTTTGGTTTTTACCCAAGTAAGTTCAGGTTTAGTTTGAGTTTTCGGGCTCAAGAAGGTGGGTTGGTTTTGAGCGGGATTCGTCACCATGGTAACTTACGCTACACAGCTACCCTGCTTCAGAGCAGGTTTTATTCTGGGTTAGAGATCGCAAATCCAAACTGGACCAATCAGCTGTGAGCAAAGTAACATATATCTGATGCAATAAAGCCACTCCCCAGAGAGCGTTTATCTCAAGCTTTGTGAGCCCGCTGAACCTGATCTAAACCAGGTTGGATTTGATTAGTTTTGTCAACTCTAAACCTACTCTGAAACTCAGAGTTTGTTCAGCTAGCTTCATGCAACAGGCCACAGGTCGAGACTATATATGTATTTGGCAGCATTACTAACCTTTAAGGGGAAAGTTGCATGAAGCCTTAGTTGAGGAGAGGAGACATTGTGTTCATGTTTGTTTAATGTGTTTCCTTCAAAAGATCCACACTCCCCACCTATAGATGAATGTTACCAGGTGCTCTTGAAGCTTGTGGACATGAACCTCGATCTGTTGAAAGGCACTGATCCTTCTGCTTGTGATCAATTCATCAGAACAACACTGACCGGTAAACTTTTCCTAAAGTGTGCTAGAATTTATATAGTGGGGAATATATGGGGATAGTTGTCACACTTACTGCAGTGAATATTTCTCAGGGGTGGTTCAGTTTATTTCTGACAGACAAATAAAAGTTATTCATCAGGTTTGTTCATCACTGCAAGGTTAGATATCATATTTGAACTGATGCAATGAAAACAAGGCTGTGAGGGAAAGATGTCTGGAGTCATTTGTTTAGTGAAAGACATATTTTCAATGTTTTATCAGTTGAATGATGTTCACAAAGATAAACAATACAACTCATTGTACATTATGGCTGTCTTTCACAGACTTGTTTTCACATCAGATTATCTATTATCCGTAGTGGGGCACATTGCACATTATATTGGGCAAGTTGTCACAGAGGGAACCTGCTATTTATTGACACTGATTTGAGATTTTTTTTTTTTTTTTTGTGCTATATGAAATACTGTCTAAAATAAAATAGCCATATTTCACATCTTATCTGTGTTTAACATTTTTCATGTGTAAGTCTCTTTGGAAAGCATATGCTAAATGATGTAAATTTAAATGTAAAATGTACTATAGTCTATTTAATGGCTTTTTTGCTCAATTTAAATAGTAAAATAATTCTGAAAATCAAATCCTGAAAGCGCAAAAATGGATGGGGTAACGTGCCATATCATTCAAAACAACATTTTTTGTTTGTTTGTTTGTTTTTGTTTTTTTGACTAATTGTAAATGAAGCTTGTAGATGCACAAACTAGAATAGGAACAAATGACTAATGACACATGTGCACATATCCCCCTCTTTTTACAGACCTCTCTGGAGGCCAAAGGCCGCTGATTCGTCAATTAGAAAAACTGAACGATGATAAAACTGCTGGTAAAAAAGCAGCAAAACAGTACGTGATGCAGTACACCGTGGATGTATGCGACTATTTCAGTTTGGAGCTCAAGCTCAATTCCTGGTCATTTGGTAGGTTGAACTGTCTCTAACATCCATTCATCCATCCGTTTTCCACAGCGTTTGTCCCATGAAGGTTCGCGGGGATGCTGGATGCTGATCTCAGCGTCATTTTTAGCAGCTGAGATCGCAACTTTCCACAAACATGTTTATTCTCTACGTTAAAACACACTGATCTGAAGATCCTGTGATAAAACCTTTTTAATCTGCAAAGCACCATGTAGTCAAGAACCCTACTCAGCCAAAATAGTTATTGACAAGACCCTAAGAACCATTTACTGAGCTGAAGAACTGAAGAACTTTAGAAAATTCATTTTGAAGAGTGTATTTGTTTCACAGATCTTTTTAAGAGCATTTGTAGATGCATGTCTCAGTGGATCTGGGGCAGGCATTATAACTTCCTCCACAACATGACAGGTGAGAACAGACCCGTTCATTAACTGGCAATTCATTGAGAATAATAAAGGGACTCATTTCACACTGTGATCGCTTAGATGATGCAGTGCCTGCCGCTCTTCTGGAAAGTGAGACGAGAGACTATATAGACGCCGGACTGTTGCTGAACTCACCCTACTTTTCAGTGCTGAGAGAAGAAAGAGACATTGACCTCATAATTTCCCTGGATTTCAGTGACGGCGATCCTTTCATGGTATTATATACTTATATAATACTATATAATGCACACATTCTCTCATAAAAGTTTGTTTAAAGAAATGCATCCCCTAGACTTCCCCTCACTTTTACTCAACTTCACTCGTTGATCTGAACCCATCTAAAATCTTACTTTCTTCTGTGGAAAACAAATGCATTAAAAAAAAACGTGTTTCTTTTTTTCCTCATGCATTGACCGTAGACCATAACCTAAAATATACAGAACCTCAAAAACACTGAGGGATAATTACAAATGTTGTGTATCACCTGACCAGATAAAAACAAGAAAGAAAACCATTTAAACAGATGGTTTAAACATCTCTATGTGGCATATATCTTCATGAGTTTTGTAATAACCATCGGGATTCCCATTCATCTCAGTGGCTGTTTCTCGACTGGTGCCTGATGGAAGTATAGGCTACACAGGAGTAGATTTAAGTGAATAACTTCAATTTCAACTGAAATATCTGTCTAAGCCTTTCAGTAAAGTGCTACTGCGGTGCTTTTCCACTGCAGACAGTGACGCAAACCGCTGAGACCTGCAAGAAACTAAAGATCCCTTTCCCTGAAGTCAACATTCCCAGTGAAGACGTGGAGAAACCAAAGGACTTCTATGTGTTCAAAGGCCAAAACGCTCCAACCGTGATTCATATCCCTCTGTTTAATGTGGTCAACTGTGGAGGCAAGTTCAGATCTCACAGCTGTCCTGAATACATCTGATTCAGGGCTCCTACACATTTTCCATTTCCAAATTCCAGATTCAAATTTCTCTGTAGATTCTTCAGACCATATCTAACATCTGATAAACTGTTAACATGTATGTTACATTCTGACAAGGTATGCTATTATGTTGCCAAATAATTGTGAAAGATTGTAGCTAGGTACTGTAGCTCATTCAAATCAATGAACACCAATCAAGTTCAATGACAGCATTTCACTGACAGCATTTTAAATATTTTTAATTCATATTATAAGATTTAAAATAATATTGTCACTTATTACATTTATTTAGACAATTGCATATGCTATTAAGTATAATAATGTTTGCTATACTATAAATTCACTGATGAAATCATTTGCTATCAGGGTTATCACGCCATCCAAGTCCTCCAAGTATTCCCAATATGGCACTATTTGAGATAGTTTTCAGCATTATATTCAGTAGTTTAATATAGTACAGTCATCTGTAAATATTCATTTTCCACTCGTTCACTGCACACATCGGTTCTCTTGAACTGATAACATGCTTACATGATGAGAAGAAACCGAAAATGCTTTATAACCTGCATATATTCACCTCTGACACATTGGTTTGGTATTGTAATCGTGCTTTGATGTTGCTTTTAAATGAATAACAGTTTTGCTAAATGGATTAATTCCAATTATTGTTCATTCATATCAATTTATGCCATTTATAATAATAGTAATTATTATTATTTTGTGTGTGGCTCAGGGAGGGCAGCAACTTAACGCCCTCTATTGGCCAGCCTCCACGAAATTCTTTTTTTTTTTTCTTCTCAGTTTTACATTTTATAGTCTGTAATAGTCTCTAAACACAAATATTTTTTCATAGTCTGTTTCTCTTTTTTTCATACTTATCCATACCTGGAAATCACTAAAACCCTGCTGATTTAAGTGTGTTACTGTTCCATCAGATAAAATTTATGCCTGGAGGAAGAAATATGGAACCTCTCGGGTTCCTTACAGCGCTGAGATGATCGCTGAACTTATGCAGGTCTCTGGGAAAAACTTCACAATCAACGGAGCCAAACTGCTGGAGCAGATTTGTGTGGTCGCGGTGGCTAAATATTTCCAGGCACAAGCACGGCAAATTTAAAGTTGGCTTGAAATTCAATCTGTTTTTCTAAATGCATTTCATTGATCTTTTTTTTTTTCTTTTCTTTTTATTTGATGCACAGGTTTTTTTTAACTCGATGCACAGGGTTTTTTTTAACTCGATGCACAGGGTTTTTTTAACTCGATGCACATGTTTTTTAACTCGATGCACATGTTTTTTTAATTCGATGCACAGGTTTTTTTTAACTCGATGCACAGGGCAGACTTCTCTCTGGTGATGCGGGACACATTGCATTATAGACATGTTTGCATTTTATTTCTGTAAAAATGTTTCTGCATGTTTCTTCATTGCTTGATCAAAAATCAAATCAAATCGTCTTCATTGCTTAATCAAATCAACAACACAGACTGGATTACTGCTGATTAAAATACTGCATTACTTTGCTTCTGTTCCAATAAATTAATAAACTGCTTTCTAAAACATTACAACTGCTTATTACAAATAATTATAAAATTAAAAGCATTATTCAGGCCATGAAGAGACCTTTGGAAGGGCAGGTGCTCAAAGTATCAAAGGGGCTTTAAATAGGGCTGCGCTCCTTGCTGATACGTGTATCTTTATTGATATATATATGGTTTAAGAGTTTTTCAAGTCATTTGCATGTAATAAATAAATAAAGTATATGAATAATGCAGTGCTGATTGACATGTCATTTAGTATAAAAACTACCGGTATAAAAAATATTTCCTGCCTTATTCTGTAATACAAACAA